TCTTTCCCTTCTCTTTTCCCACATCCCAGTTGCCTTTTACCCTTGAGCATTTTCCTTTCCTTTCACAATGTCTATCATACCTCCTAGTTTTTATTCACTCTTTCAAGTTTTACACTAGTGAGACAGTGCTGTGCTTACACATGCAGGTCTGATCCACCCAGATTTTAGAAGAAAGCCGAGAGGCTAGGCAGTGTGCCCCTGAGAGGACAGTGTGTGAAGCTGTGAATGAGAAGCTAAAGGTGTACTGGAGACTCCAGAAATTTGGAAAAGCCAGGAACGTTGATCATCTAAGGAAAGTTGCGAGGAGGGAGCAAAGCAGGCCTAAGAGAAGTCATGGGAGCTACAACCAGCAGAAGTGATGTGGGGTGGAGCCACGTAAGGTCTTTGGAGCTTACAGTTTATCACAGATTGCTTTGGATGTTCGACGTGGAACTACAGGATTTAATGTTTGCCCTGCTGGATTTTGGACTTGCTTTGGTCCCAATGCTTTGTATCCTCCTGTTTGTGTCTTTTGGAGTGGAAATGTCTATCTTGTGCCATTGAATTTTGGAAGTGTTTAAGTTTTCATTTGTGTATGGGCTCACAGCTAAGAGTTTGTCTTAGATTTTGGAGGACACTTGAAGGGACTTGGACTTTTCACTAGTGTTGAAACTGTTAGGACTTTGGCAACTCCTAGAGATGGACTAAAATGTCTTTTACATAAAAAGGGATGTGCATGGGTCTTTAGGGGGCCAGGGGTGTAATGCTATGATTTGTGTCTAGATGTCCCTCCAGAGCCTCAGGCAGTCATGAAGGTGGGCTTCTAGCATTTAAGATTGATTTGTGGTTCAATGCTGGGATTATGGGCGTGAGCTCTACACCCATCCTGGGGCAGGCAATTTGCATACAAAATAAGGGAGGGAAAGAGGCTTGCTTGCTGCTGTTCCTCCCTTTTGCTCCTGCTGCTTTTGCTGTTTTCAGCGGCCATGAACTGTTGCCCTCTGCCATGTGCCACTCTGCCTTGGAGTCAACCAAGTATGGACTGAAACCTCCACAAACTGTGAGCTAAATAAACCTTTCCTTCCTTAATTTTGAGCATTGGGTATTTTGTCTCAGTAACGAGAACAAAGTAACCAGCACAAGACCCCAGGTACATACCTGTTAGGCAGCCATTAAAATAACACTGCTGGGCTGGGGATATAACTCAGCATCCCAGTGCCTGTTTGGCAAGTGCAAGGTCATGAGTTGGATTCCCTGTACCAAGAAAGAAAAAGAAAGAAAGAAGTAAAATAACACTGCAGAAGACAACTCAATGACTTGCACTAAGCCATGCCTAGTCTTTCCACATCTTTATTAAAAAAAAAAAAAAATAGGGACACAAAAAGCAAAACAAAACAAAGTACCCAGGGAGTGTATGTTATCTGTAGTTATCTTGGGTAGAGCAAGATCGAGTAATTTCTGCCCTTCTTTTACTTAATTACATTTTCTAAAATGTATGGATGGAACGTAGGTTTCTTTGGCACATAAAGAACAGTTTTAAATGCTACCTCCCAGGCACCTGAGGTAGCATTTAAAACCTGATAATAACATGTGGACCGAAAATTTAGGCTCAGATGAAAGTGCTTTCAAAATGAATATGAAATTGAGCTCACATCTGAGGCGGCACAAGCAGCATGAACAGCATAGGTCAGAGGGAGGCCCTGAGCAACTTTGATGTGTTTGTTGATTGAAATCAACGAGTCTGCAAGCCTTGTGGGAATGCGAGACGTGGGTTGGAGGTGTGTCATTTTCTTACCTTGCTTTTCTTAAACACTAACATGGTGCAGCATCAGGGCTGAGTGGCTGTCGTGCATTTGTTTGTCTGATCTGCAGCTCATGCTGAGGTTGTGCAGCCCCTAAAGGGGTGGGTGTGGGTAAATGCAGAGCCAATTTGGGCTCAGCAAGGAGGCTGGTTCCTTCTGGAGGGTGAGAGCTGTGATTTTGAAAAGGACTCTGAAGTCGCTGAAGTGACCGGGGTGCTGGGAGGAGCAAAGAAGGGAGGAGCAAGGTGGCTTACCCTCCTGCATGTATTAACCTATGTGCTTCTGGTGCTCAGCTCCAAACTTTGCTGTTTCTTTCTCCTGCAGGCAGAGGTAGAGCCGACTGTGTAGACCTCCGTAGTGAGCAGCCCAGGGAGAAGCCACGGGTGTCTTGGAGCTCCGCTGAAATGAGCTGGCTCGCCTGAGCCTGTCCCAAGCCTGACAACCAGGTTTCATCCCAGCGCTGAGGTAAGACCCCTTGAATCCCAGCTCAGGGAAGGAGAAAACAGTATGCTTCTTCGGTGGTGGAGGTGGTGGGGCAGATGGAAACTTCCTCTGAGGTTCTGCAAAGAAGCACCAGTTGTTTACAACTCTGTCAGACCATCTGCTTCCCTCTCGGCCTATTGGGAGGCGAGGTCACTTGGTAGCCAAACAAGCTTTGATTTGACTGGACAGGTATTTTTACATCTTGACAAGGAGTGGTATTTTCTCAATTGCTGATGAAATTTGAACTCCAAAGGCAATGAATGTATCCTTCAGGTGCTTAGGTGCACCTGCTCTGTTTTGCAGGACCGGCTGAGCTCTTAGGGAACACGCAAGCGTGCGCACACACCAACGCGCAGATGTACACGTACACGTACCCACACACAGCAACCCAAGGGAGACGGAAACAACATTTTCAGGAAGGTATTACAAAACATTCCAGTAAGCCTACTAAAAATGATCTTAATTACCTAGATATGTTCTGATTATAAAGGTAATGTGTTCTCCTAGGACATTTGGAAAAATGCCCATGAGGAAGAAAATAAAGCATTCTGAAATCTTTCCTCTGTTGGCGATCCTGTTGGATAGTTTTCCTTATGGTTACTCTTAACCTTCTCCAGGGTGTTGAGTTTCTGCAGGTAGGTGGAGTGGTGCAGCAGAAAGACCCTCAAGGAGGGTCTGGGGATCTCACCTTTTAGTCTGGAAAATCTGCAGAGCTAATTTTTAAATATTCAGGAATTTTGTTAAGAAACTGTTGGCAGCTTAAAATTGACCACTGTAGAAAAATTTATGCATGGAAATGAACCAGTATCACAAACCAGGGCTTTTCTGTTTTGGAGATTTTTTTTTTGCAGTGAGGGGGATCAAACTCAGGACCTTGCGCTTGCCAGGCAGGCGCTTGTGCCACTGAGCTATGTCCCCAGCTGTTTTGGAGATTCATATTACGTCAGAACACCACTGGTTCCAGCACCTATACCATCCACACTTGGTGATGCATTGGGTGATCTCACTTCACTTATGCGCCCCTTGGCTTCCTTGCCTATGCACTGTAGATGGATAGGTGAATGAATGAGAGTGAGGTTTCCGTCTTTATTATCTCCTAAGACAGCTGTGAGAGTCCCATGAGCGAAACGAAGTATCTTGGGCTCTGTGAGGCTCCTTACCCTCGCTGGAGGTTTAGCTGATTGGGAGACCTTTAGTTTATCAATGCGGAGAAATTGGCTATATTTCCCCCTTTGGGCTCTTGCTCTTTGGGAGGTCTGTGAATTATTGACATCCTTTCACAAAGGCAGATGAAAACCCTCCATTTACTGACCAACATCTGGGGCACATTTCCTTCCTGGAAAAGTCAAGAAGTTGGTCAGGGAAGTGTGAAAATGAATCCTCAGCAGTACTGGATGTGAGAGCCAGGACTGCACTCAGAGCTTTTGACTCATAATCTCTTCTGGGGGTGGGGGGTGTGAGGGGGAACTTCCTGCCAAATGTGAAATTTCAACAAAAGCTTCTTTCTTCAAGGCCCTGCTGTTGAAGCAGATTAGAGCTAATTAAATAAGCATAATGGAGACTCAGGCTCAGCCCTCCTCTTCCTACTTTCTGAATCTCTTGCTTTCTTCTCTGGACCTCCTGCCTATTTCCTCGAAGAGAGGGGATGGGAAGAGGGCGGAACATCAACAAAGCACCAGTTTCTCTGTAGGTTCAGAAAATAGTACGAGTGGAAAGAGCTGTGGAGGTCATCTTGTTCCCTGCCCTCATTTTGAGCAGCCAGGTCACACAGCAGCTGGTGGGGGTCCGGGCCTGTGCTGCCGATAGGTTCACCCTGGGGAGGAAGGGAGCCTAGGCTGCGGGTCTTTGTGTGCGCCTGGCGAGGGGATGTGCTTGGTGATCTTATGCTAGCCCTCCTTCGGCCCTCCCCAGGCCTTCTGCCGTATCTGCTGCCACAGTCCTACTGCACTTCAGTGCCCTCTGGTTTTCTTGGAATTGAGTTCCCTTCCTCATCAAGGTCTTAGTTTTCCCCCTCAGGGAAGGCATCGTAAGAAGATCTTATTCTGAAGAACTTTGTTTGTGTTTATGATGAAGGGAAGGCAAAGGCAGGATACTGACGGAGTTCATGATGGTCCTAGGCGTGAGCTCTGTGCTCTGTCTGTCTTATCTGCTTTAGTTCTGAGACAGTCTAACGGGGATCCATCCCCCTGTTTCATACGTGCCCTCTGAGTCTCGGAGAGGTAGAGACTCACCCAAGATTTCTCCACTCATAAGTGATGGAGATGTCAGCTAGGTATGTTTGTGACCTCTTCCCCCTCTCAAAGCTAGTGAGTGCTGTCCAGGGCAGGTAGTCACCCTTGTAGGAGTTCCAAATCTGGTTCCAACAGGCAGTGTTCCTCCCCGGAGGGAACATCATTCCATCTCAGAAGCTATGTGAACAGCTGTGGTCTAAAGTGATTGAAGGGGCTGGGGATTTAGCTCAGCGGCAAAAGCGCCTGCCTGGCAAGCGCAAGGTCGTGAGTTCGGTTCCCGGTACCGGAGAAAAAAAAAAAAAAAAAAAAAAAAAAAAAAAATAAAGTGATTGAAGCTTTGCGGAGTGCTGCTCTGTTCTTTCATTTTTATTTATTTTTATCTTTTTGAGACAGGGTTTCACTATGCAGTTCAGGCTGGCCTTGAGCTCACTTTATAGCCCAGGATGGCCTTGAACTCACAATGATCCTCCTGCCTCAGCCTCCTGAGTGCTGGGATTACAGGGGTGCACCACCACGCCCTGTGTTGCTCTGTTCTTTCAGATCCCAGGGGCTGCCTTCCCTGTTGTGGAAGCAGTGTGGGAGCCAAGGGCATCCATAGAGCCTGCAGCAGAGTCCTCTAGTTCATCTGATGTCCCGGCAGTGGGGATGCAGTGTTTCTGGGTGCTAGCTTTCTACCCAGGTGGAAGCAGGTAGCCTCTCTATCTCGAGGTTCGCACAGCTCTTTGCAGCGGAGCAGCCCAAAATAGCTATGCTTCCTTTGCCTCCATGGCTGGGGAAGAGATTATTCTCTTGGCAAGAAAAATGTAATTCAGTTCAGCACATACTTACTGAGTGCTACTGAGAAATTCTGGCTTAGCCCTGGGCATGCAAATCTGACAAGGGACAAGGGGAGGAGCTTCCCTGCACACAGCTGGATAGCACATACGTTCTCCTTCCCTTTCCTGTATCTTCCATGGTCCTGTGACCATGCACCTCCAGTGTGTTCTACAAGAACCTGCAAGGAAGAAACTCTGCCTCAGGTTTCTCTGCTATCTCCAGTTGTTTTCTGGGGCTCCCAGGTCCTCGAGCACAGAGTTTTACAGTGCGGCCTGTGAAGGGGAAGACAGCAGCATGTGGGCAGGGGCTTGGGAAGAACCATGAAGAAGGGTAGGAGTGAGGGGGAAGAGGCAGGGAGGCCCAGAGAGCAGCTTGGGAGGGTACTGCTCAGGGGGGGATGAGTGCTCTCTCTGCAGAAGGGGCTGATGGCACTGTTGAGGGCGCTCTCACAGATAATCAGGAATCCTTTTCATCCGAGGGATCTGCCCAGCCTCAGAGGGAGGACATGCTCAGTGCTGCAGAGGGTGTGGAGTGGGACGAGAGCCCCTTGGTGGGCTCACTGGTCAGCCTTCACTTCGTATTGCAGAAGAGGTGGAAGCTCAGAAAGGAGAACGGCCTTGGGGAACAAAAGTCTGATTCCCGGACTGATCGGGGTCGGTCCGCTGGACCACACTGGCTGATGAAGGGAGGTTGTCTGGGGTTCAGCACAACTGCTTCCTGTCTCAGCCTGCCTGACTGCTGGTGGAGGAATGTGTGGTGGTGACAGCCACTTGTCATGTCAGGGATCTAGGGATCTTCTGCAGCCCTAACCGTCTGTCCTGCTCCTGAGGGTCTTGCCTAGGCCGGGGAGCCGTCACCTGTGGCTCTGGGCTGGGAATTTGCCATCGCAGGAGGCATCACAAACAGCTTGGAAGGTGCTTGACCCCAGCTTGAGCCTGACTTGACCATAGCTACAGGACCTCTGCCAGTGATGGCGAACCTTTCAGAGCTTCCAGTGATACAAACAGCCTGCTGTGGCACACGTGCCTTAGGTTCGCCACCACTGAGTCCTAGGCTCTCTGACTCAGATTCTTCATCTGTAAAATGGGCTTGAGAACACCTACCTAGAGTGAAGGTTAATAGTAATTTATGTTTTTCCCTACAAAGTAGCTGCCCATGAAAGGTACCTATTACTGTTCTTCCTGAAGTGTAACTGACAGACAAAAACCTGCATCTATTTAACTGCACAGCTTGATGCGTTGTGACATATGTACACACATAGACCCAGTCTCACAATGACATTAATGAACCTACCCATTGTCCCTCTCCTAGCTTCCTTCTGTCTCACCCCTCCCTCCTGGTCCTTTGTTTCCTTGCCTTTCACCTCAGCAACCACTAATCTGCTTCCTATCAGTGTAGGTTAGTGTGTAGTTTTAGAACTTGATGTAAGTGGTATTCTATAGCATGTACTCCTCCCCCACTCAACATAATTATTGTTCGCTCATCTTGTTTTATGTTTCAGTGGTTTGTTCCTTTACTGTTAAATGGTATCTCTATGGTATGATGTACCACAGTCTGTTTTTTTCCATCTGTTGACAAATATTTGGGTGTTTTGAATTTGGAACTATTAAAATAAAGTCACTCAGGGGCTGAGGATTTGGCTCAGCTGCACAGCACCTGCCTGGCAAGTGCAAGGTTGTGAGTTCGACTCCTGGTACTAGAAGAAAAACAAAACAAAACAAAATAAAGTCACTCAGCTGGGCATGCTGGTCCATGTCAGTAATCCCAGCTTCTCCAACGGGACAGAAGGATCAAAAGTTTGAGACCAGCATGGACAACTTTGTGAGACCCTGCCTCAAACTAAAATTAAAAGTAAAAAGGGCTGAGGATGTAGTTTAGTGGCAGAGGCCAACTGGATTTAATCCTCAGTGCCAAGAAAAAAAAAAAAAGCCAGCAGATATTTGTGAGAAAATATTTGTGGGGACATATGCATGCATTTCTCTTGGGTACATACATAGAAACAGAGAAAGGCTGGGTCCTGTGGTAGGTGAATGTTAGCTTGGAAAGTGTCAAATTGTTTTCTAGAGTGATTTTGCCACTTTACTTTGACAACAGCTGTGTGTTAGGGCTTCAAGTGCTCTGCCTCTTTGCCAGTACCTGATGTGCTGAGTCTTTTGAATTTTAGCCATTTTAACGGTGATTGGGAGTCTCTCACTGTGGTGTTATTTACATTTCCCTAGAGATTAAAAGTGTCAAGCATCTTTTTCGTGTGTTTATTTGCCATCTACATATCTCCTTTTTTGAAGTGTTGGTTCATATTTTTTGTTCATTTTAAAAAAAAAATTGGACTGTCTCTTTAAATTGGGCTGTAAGAGTTCTTTCTATATTCTGTAG